TAGATAGATAGATAGATAGATAGATAGATAGATAGATAGATAGATAGCCTCTGATTAGTAAGAAAGTCACTAGCTAATCCATGCAATTATTACTGAAAAAAATGATAAATTCAGTTTTTATTCAAATTTTAACTATAAGGACCAGCAACAATTGAATTACAAACATCAGCAAACATTTGGGAGTGAGTGAGTGTGTGTGTGTGTGTGTGTGTGGGGGGGGGGGGGGGGGTGTTAAGAACGTGATGCAATGTCATTTTAACATAAACAGGTAGAATGACAGTACCAACTATATTATCTGACATTGACTTTTCTCTTTGCACAGTTCCATTTCATAAATTCATAATGTTCAGTCCAGTTAGAGAATTTGTAAGAAACTGGAGCTGAACATGAAGAGGAAAAAAGTTTAATTATTTGTCTTAGAATAAGTGGTTTGCAGTGAGGCATATGAAAATATGCTTGGTTTGGAATATAAAATGCCTTTCTATATATCAGCAATGCTCTTTTTGACCAGAAATAATTGGTTTAAGAATTTTAATATAACATATCCAATATTGCTATTGTTATAAATGTTAAAACGGTCACAAACTTTTTAAGTTTTAGTAAAAAATAAAAATAAAAATCCTATATCAGTTATGGATATAATGAAATATAATTTTACTAGTAAGAATGCTTTTTTTTTAAATGAACATCATGTTTAAATTCCGAGCAAGCAATGGTTTGGTATGATTATATGTTACAACGGCCTGCCATATTCCATGTCTTCTACGTGCGTTCAAAGTCCAGCTGTAAATTACTCAGCACTTAACAAAATAACAAAATCACATAGACACACACACACACAAAAAACAACAACATTTGCTTCAATTTTTAAAATAAATTCATAATCTTATAGCCGTTTGTAGCAGTTCATGTAACATTTCGATAACTCTCCTACTTACTGTAAGCCAGTTATAGACGTTACCAGTGTTCCTGAACGCATCGCTCTTTTACACAACTCGGAAGACCAAAACAAAAAACGTACAAACAGAATACGTATTACTGTATATTTGGTTCAAGTTGGCTGATTCTTTTTTTCCCCGCACATGTCGCGGAGATTTAATAGGAGGTGTGAAGAGAAATACCTAAACATGCTGCTTAGAGAACTAGCCTGGCTTGTAGTGGCAGCTTAAAGCCCAGCGGCATCTAGAAACAAAGCTAATGTTCCCGTCGCGGCTAGCAGGAACCGCTAAGCTAACTAAGCTAAGCTCGTTGACCCAGCGACATTCAGTGGAGAAGCTGCAGCTCCCTTCTTCTATTTACATCCCAAACGATTTGAGACTGACGCACTGACTTGTTAGGTAGCTAAATTAGTTAAACCGGGATACTGACAACTATTTTATGTCGTTTTGCTGCGTGTAAACACTCCAGGATGGGAATGTGCTTACCGTGCCTTGGTGGAGCCGCGGACGACGTGGTTGTCACCCCAGATCCTGTAAGTAATTTATCACATCTTTTTTTAAAAGTTGTGTGTCACTAGTGCAGTTAGGATGGTTCCCATACTGAGTTATAATAAGCAGTGATATATTCTGTAGTCCTGGGACACAGATGGGCCTTTTTAAAAGGTAAACAGTTTGGCCTAACATGGCGATTAAAACGGTGAAGACAATCAGTTTGTTCACAACTTTTCTGTTTTAAACAGGAGACACGAAGACAACAGCTGGCAGAAGCAGCTGAGAAGAGACAAAAAGAGGTAAGTTGGGAGTGGCTGCCCCAAGTTATAAAAACACTGTCAGTATTATTAGATTTAAAGTAGATTTGTTTGTGCTATGCAGAACCATTTAGCTACAGCATTACATTAACCAGCTGCAAAGCCAGATGTTTAAAAGTTAAACACGTGCTGTAGACTCTAAATGACAGTATAATACAGGGACTAAACATGAGGGACAGGATGGAGGGGTGGATTGTGTCCGATGGCTTCTGTAGGCCAGGCTTTTTATAATTTAACCATCATTTATACCCCAATCTTTCTTTAATGTCTTTAAACTAAATGCTGTCAACTTCATATAGTTTGGTACACACACAATGCCACGATTTCCTTGTCCTACCCTAGAAATAATGTCAATGAGCACAAACCAAAATGAATTCAGTACCAAACCATAACTGATTTAAAATCTCTTAACACGGCTAATTTTAATTGAACACTTCTTCCTGTTTAGACGTGGCATGAACATGAGTTCACAGATTTATAGGTTTTAGTGGCATTGTTCACACTGAACATTAAAATCTGGAGTAATCATGTTTCACTACATGCAAATAACATGTAACCGTGTCACACAGCTGGCTGCCAGCTGATAAACAGAACATCAGCAGGTGAAATCCCAAGTATGCACAATCTCCTGAGCTATATTATTTGTTGACATTTACACAGCTCAGAGTCACTCAAGTGGCACTTTTGTGGAGTTAGCCTACACAACTCTTCATAAGCTCAATTACATACCAGATGTGATATGAGAAGTATAAAATGATTAGTGACTTCTCAGTGTCAGCTCAAAGACACTGAAGATGAACTCGTAAACCTCACTGGAGGCTGCTGCAGCTGCCAGCGCCGTGTTTAATTAGGTATACGTTGGTAAGACGGCACCGCTCAATGTGTGACTGATGCAGAGTTTGTGGTGCTCAAAGAGAGTTCAATCAACCCTAAAACATACAGAACAAATTTCATTAATACTTTAACTTAAAAAAGCAACAACAAAAAGGTAAGGAGACTGTATTCAGATTATCCCCAAGAATGGTTGTTTAATTGTTTTTAATTTACCAGCAGCTAAAGCTGATTTTTATTTAATTTAAAAAAAAAAAAGGTTTACAGAAACATTTGGGTTATAACTTGGTTATATTTGTGCAATTATGTCAGACAACCTGAGGATGAAGGTGGTCTGAGTGAAGATGACTTCAGGGATTGTAAATGGAAACCAACCATCAACCATAATACACCTGCCTCTTTAAATTTACTGTTATTCAACATTGTTCCCAAATAATTAAACTTAAACTAGGCCTGTCACAATAACATATTTTGCTGGGCGATTAATTGTCTCAGAAACTATTGCGATAAACAATAATATTGTTTGAAATTTAACAATTATTAATTGTCAAATTTTTGAAGAAATGTTGATTTGTTTGGAGTGTAGTACCTTTTTTGACCACCTGATGGCAGTATAAGACTGTTTGAACCAAAGTTGAGCAGCGTCTCTAAGAAAAATGGGAGGGAGGGCCCTTGACGTGACATGGTGACATGGCGGACTCTCTATGATTTGAGCTCTTTTGAACTTTTTACACAAAGGTGCAGGTTTCAACCGTGAATTTTGGAGCTTTGACAAGACGGAGGTTTATTCCCGAGGTCGGCCTGTTAGCTTAGCTCATAGCTTAACTTCTCAGCTTAGCTGCTTTTAACGATCCAAAAACACTATTTTTGGATAATTAAAACAGATTTTAAAGCGAAAGGGAGGGGTCAGTGAAGAACACCGGAGTTGATCTTTTTGTCATCCAGTGTCTTCAGTAGAAAGAGAGACATGAAGATGCGATAAAGCTGATAAATGAAAATGAGGTCGATAATTTTCATTCATCGTGCGATTAATTGATTTATTGTTTATCGCGACAGGCCTAACTTAAACTTTAGGTGCACTGAGAGCATTCACACCTGCATTTAGCCCCGTCCAGATGTGACCAGATCACTTATTGCCAGGTCTGAACTGGGCCTACAACGTCAACACTAGGATCTTGTATGTAGTCTTTGCTTCTTGTATCATTTTGTACATACTGCACACTCAGTATTCTAGTATCTGGGTAAATGTTTGAGTTTTGCAAACCCTGAGCTTTAGGTAGAACGACTTTAAAATGTGGTGAGCAGTTTCTTTTCACTGTGCAGAAAAGACACTTTCAGAGCAGTAAGAGGCGAACTAAAGCTGCATCAAGGTAAGTAGTTGCAGGCTAGAATAAACAACAGATGCTGGGTTTGACTGTAACGTTCACTAAATGCACCAAACCACAGTATTTTCAGCTTATGTTGTGACACACTCACAATTCAGAAGGGTCCGGCTGCAGGTGACAGCACTGAGTTCTAACCCACGTTTGCAGCGGCACCACTGACCCATCTTCACTGGACTGCTTATCTGACCATGGAATGCCCTCTTGTTGTTTGTGATTGTTTCTTCTGCAGGTTGTTGTACAAACAAACACAAATGCATGTCTGACCAAGAGGTGTTTGGTTTGTGTTTTGATCCGTTTGCTTCTGATTTCCAGACGGTGTACAGGGGCGTCAAAAACCCAGAAGCAGTGGAAAGGAAAAGGAAAAAGCAAGAAGAGATTGAGAAACAGGCGATGAGCACCTCTGTGTCTGGTGGTGGTGGCTTAAAGGTTAGTTTTGAGTTTATTTTAATACTTGGTGGCCGAAGAACGGCAAGGACTGTCAAACTGTTCATTTAGCTTCTGTACACAATTTTATTAGTTTTTTTTAATGTAAATAAAATACTAAACACTACATTGTGATTGGGCAGCACGGTGGTTCAGTTTGTAGAGCTGCTGCCTTTCAGCAAGAAGGTCGCCGGATCAAATCCCGGTCCGAGGACCTTTCTGGATAGAGTTTGCATGTTCTCTGTGCATGTGTGGGTTTTCTCCGTGTACTCTGGTTTCAGAGTGAGGGAGTCAGAGTTTCTTTGTCATTCGCACCACATGTGGTACATATGGTGGAATGAAACTGTACACAACTTCCTCCCACAGACCAACAACATGCATGTTAGGCTGATTGGTAACTCTAAATTGTCCCTAGGTGTGAGTGAGAGAGTGAATGGTTTTGTCTCATTTAATATTTAACTGTCGTTTTTTTTGTTTTTTTTTGTGATTTAACATAAATAATGAATACATTTATCTTAAACTTTAGTAAAATATGTTTTTTTACATGAATGTATAAAACCCAACCAACATTTAGAGAAAGTTATTTGCAACAATAGATGTTTGAGTTAAATGTCTTGAAGATTGAAGTCCTCTGTTTTGTGTTTGTCTCTGCAGTGGCAGGTTGGATGAACTTCCTGATGGTAACTCGCCTCTGATCTTCAAATCCACATGAAGTATTTCTGCAAGATGACTTGGAAAAACCTTGAAACTGCTCTCCAATTAAATGCACCTAATTTTTTGCCTGTTTTTGTTGCAAATCATCTGGCAGTCATCAGACTTGGTGCAGAACCATTTCAACCAGTTTCACACGCCTCACAGTTGTAGCTGCCAACTTATGACGGCTGGTTTAGACTTTTTTTGGACAAGTCAGGGACGGCACAAACACATTTCACCCTGGTACTGGTGTCTGACGACTGAAGGGACATGAATAACACTGGACAGTGCTGGCTGTCATCTCTTGTGTTTTGAAGTGAAGGATTAGTAAAGCACTGCTGTTGAAGGCCACATCATGTTTTTTGTGTCTTAACCAGATTGATTTTACTCAACATGTATCCTTTTAACACTTTCACTTGATTCAAGTTTGAACTTTTTGACTGGAAGTTGTTTTGCTTGTCACAGTAGTTTGATGCGTTCAGTCTTGGCCACAGGAAATCAGTGATGTCATCAGGACGTGTTCTTTCTGCTGTTTGATGCTGTCATGTGACTGAAGACAAACACTGTTTGGTTTAATTTAACACTTGATTTGTGCTTTATATAACTCATTTGCTAACTCTGTTGTTATGTCGAGCAGAATTTCAGCTGCACAATACTTCTAACTAACTCTAAAATATTTTCTAGATCAGTGGTTCCAAAACCTTTTTAGCTTCTGATCCACAAGCTAACGGGGCTTGTGACCCCAAATGTAAATGTAGACTTTGCTATGATACTATTTGTGATAAGTGAAAATCTATCATTAGCATTTAAATTTACATTTTATTTGACTTTTAAAGATTATCTGAGGTCCCATAGTTGGTGGTTCATGACCCACAGTGGGGCGTCCCAACCCTGATGTTTTTGAACCACTGTTCTGGTCAATAGAAGTGATGAGGCAGACACGCAGGTATTTATGTTGTGCTAATGATTTATTGCACTTTACAAAAAGAGCCTGCTTTATTAGGTTGATTGCACGGGTTGGGTTTGATGACTTGAAAAATACTCCGTTAAAAACACTAATATGAGTTGAAATGATGTGCCACCGTTTATAGTTTGTTGGATGCTTACTAGTATAATGGTTTGCCAAACGGTTGACAAACGTCAGATTTACTCTCTGGCTATTTAAAATAAATATCTTGTCATGTTTAGTGGTTGAAGACAGTCTACCTTACTCCATTCTTAAACGCTTTCTGGTGCTCTTGCCTTTTTGTAAAGACAAAAACTTGCCAATTTGTCTCTTTGCTACAATAAAATCACATATCTGCTACTTTCTGTGTGGATTTTGCACATTTTCCCCCACATGTATCTACATGTTATTTCATTACCTGCAGGGTTTGTTTCTAGGCCTAACAAGAAAAGAACTAAAACATTTAAAATTTAAAGTGGGCACCTGTTACACTTAATATTTTGTCATTTGCAGAGTCATTAGTTTTGAGACTTTATTTAGTAGTTTATAAAGTTGGATCTGAATGTTGATTTCCAAGCAATTTGTTGTTGAATCAGGAATGAAAGCTGATTGCTTCATAAGCTGCAGCTGCAATGCAAGAAACGATATCTGCTGATTGTAAACCAGATGTTATTTTTCAGATTGAATCGCCTGTAGAGGTCAGCAACACAAACAACAACCGTTCAGTTGGAAACATGATGGATATAAATGAAGCCATCTTGACTAACACAAAATAATAGCTTTAAAATTTAATTTTTACACCTAAATGATAAATGTTTAGCTTCATTTTGGCCTAATTGGAAATACAGGTTCTGGTCATAAAATTAGAATATCATGAAAAAGTTGATTTATTTCAGTAATTCCATTCAAAAAGTGAAACTTGTGTATTATATTCATTAATTACACACAGACTGATATATTTCAAATGTTTATTTCTTTTAATATTGATGATTATAACTGACAACTAATGAAAACCCCAAATTCAGTATCTTAAAAAAATTGAATATTAACACAAATTAAAAATAAGGATTTTTAGAAATGTTGGCCAACTGAAAAGTATGAACATGAAAAGTATGAGCATGTACTTCATTCATTACTTAGTTGTGGCTCCTTTTGCCTGGATTACTGCAGCAATGTGGCGTGACATGGAGTCGATCAGTCTGTGTCACTGCTCAGGTGTGATGAGAGCCCAGGTTGTTCTGATAGTGGCCTTCAGCTCTTCTGGATTGTTGGGTCTGGTGTATCACATCTTCCTCTTCACAACACCTCATAGATTTTCTATGGGTTAAGGTCAGGTGAGTTTGCTGGTCAATTAAGAACAGGGATACCATGGTCCTTAAACCAGTTACTGGTAGCTTTGTCACTGTGCAGGTGCCAAGTCCTGTTGGAAAATGAAATCGTCATCTCCATAAAGTCGGTCAGCAGCAGGAAGCATGAAGTCTCTAAAACTTCCTAGTAGATGCTGTGTTGACCTTGGACCTCAGAAAACACAGTGGACCAACACCAGCAGATGGCATGACCCCCAAACCATCAGTGACTGTGGAAACTTGACACTGGACCTCAAGCAACATGAATTCTGTGCCTCTCTTCCATCAGACTCTGGGACTTGATTTCCAAAGGAAATGCAAAATGTACTTTCATCAGAGAACATAACTTTGGACCACTCAGCAGCAGTCCAGTCCTTTTTGTCTTTAGCTCAGGTGAGACGCTTCTGACGCTGTCTCATGTTAAAGAGTGGCTTGACACGAGGCATGTGACAGCTGAACCCCTCGTCTTGCATACGTCTGTGTGTGGTGGTTCTTGAAGCACTGACTCCAGCTGTAGTCCACTCTTTGTGAATCTCCCCCACATTTTGGAACCGGTTTTGTTTCACCATCCTCTCCAGGGTGCAGCTATCTCTATTGCTTGTACCCTTTTTTTTTCTACCACATTGTTTCCTTCACTTCATCTATCTATTAATGTGCTTGGACACAGAGCTCTGTAAACAGCCAGCCTCTTTAGCAATGATCTTTTGTGTCTTGTGCAAGGTGTCAATGGTCGTCTTTTGGACAACTGTCAGTCAGCAGTCTTCCCCATGATGGTGTAGCCAACAGAACTGAAAGACCATTTAAAGGCCTTTGCAGGTGTTTTGAGTTAATTAGCTGATTAGAGTGTGACACTTATTGAACCTTTTCACAATATTCTAATTTTCTGAGATACTGTATTTGGAGTTTTCATTAGTTGTCAGTTATAATCATAAACATTAAAAGAAATAAACATTTGAAATATATCAGTCTGTGTGTAATGAATGAATATAATATACAAGTTTCACTTTTGAATGGAATTACTGAAATAAATCAACTTTTTCATGATATTCTAATTCTATGACCAGCACCTGTACATCAAGAAAACTGTGGATTTGTTATGTTAACACATTTTACCTCTTTTATGTATTTTACAAAAATCATCCAAACAAGTTTTATGTAAAGCTTTGGTTTTTATTTTGTGTTTGTAAGGTTTCCACAGATCACCTCCATCAGTGCCGATTAGAATCATTGTTTATTGCATGTATGCATTTTAAAAAGCTGAAACAAAAGGTTTCCCTGCTTCAAAATGTCATTTACTAGTATATAAACGCTTGATTTTGTGTGGTCAGGGATGTTGGCAAAGGTGCTGAAGTCTCCATCCTTGTTCAGTTTTATTAACCAGCAGGTTTTAACCTGTTCAAACTGAAGGTTTTGGTTCTGTTCTATTGCTTCAAGTATAATTAGTAAATCTGGAACATTTACAGTTTCACTCAACCTGTTTTGCCTTGTACACACAAATCAACAAATATTTCAACTCAGTTTTTATCAATGTTGGAAGACAAACTGGCATAAAAACAAACTGAAGCAGGACTGCAGGCTTGTTTTGGGCACAGTGCCTACTCTTAAACAGATCATTATTATTTTACAGATGTGTCAACATGTACATGTACAGAAACAAAGATGTTGCTCAGCGATGCCCCGAACCTTTATCCAGGAAATGGCACAAAGTCCTCTGTCCTTTCATTAACATGTCTTCACTTCTTGCTGCGGTAGTGGGCCGCCACTACCAGGTAGCTGTCCGGGCTCAGGTCCTTGATGTTGGGGGACTTGGTGCTGATGGGGGATATCTTTCCCTCCACTCTGGAAATTTGTAGCATCCGGCAGGGGTCATGTTTCAGCAGGTAGCTCTCGAAGGTCTCCCAGCCTCCACCGACTCGCACCATCACATGCTTGTTGTGCAGCATCTGCAGAAGAAAGTTGATAACGATGACACTTGAGGTGCCGGTTGGTCAAACAAGATCACATTTCTGTCACAAAGCACTTGTGTAAAACTAACATTTCATTCAGAGTTATGGCTCATGTTGTATAATTTGAAACAATAATAACAGCTTTAACGTCGAGTTTGATTCTGTGAAGGACGCAAAGTCTGATCATTTTTTATTTTGAGGCGAAAGTGGCTTTAATTGCTCACGGAAATTAAGTCAAATGAGTATTAGCCAATAATAGTAAAGCCAAACGCAATCATGTTTTAACTGCCTATTTCACAGGTACAGTGAATGCATCGTGACTCAGCTGAAGTTGAGGGAAATAAAGATGATGAGGACTGTAAGAGCAGCCTGCGCTCGCATCACACCTGAGCAGTGCCACAGACTGATCTATGCCACGCCATCCAGGCAAAAGGAGCCACAACTAAGTACTGAATGAAGTACATGCTCATACTTTTCATGTTCATACTTTTCATGTTCATACTTTTCAGTTGGCCAACATTTCTAAAAATCATTTTATTTATTGGTCTTAAGTAATATTTTAATTTTCTGAGATACTAAATTTAGTGTTTTCATTAGTTGTCAGTTATAATCATCAACATTAAAAGAAATAAACATTTGAAATATATCAGTCTGTGTGTAATGAAGGAATATAATAAAAGAAGTTTCACTTTTTGAATGGAATTACTGAAATAAATCAACTTTTTCATGATATTCCAATTCAGCACGTGTATATGTTGAGACATTTTTATCATCAAAAGATTTAAACTGCTGATTGTGTCTTGCCTCATTCTGTATTCTACAATTTGGGGTTTACTCTTACCTCCTGAAACTTAAAAGGCCTTTTCTCACCGACAAATTCTTTTTGTCTTCCTGATCATCTGAATATCAAATGTAACTGCAGTCTATGTTGGTATGAGGTCTTCATTCACAGGAATAAAACATGTTCTTCTGTTTGTGGCTGTAGATTTAAAAAATAGGGTACACCACACAGAAGTGTTTGTTTTTTATTATAACACCCAGAGTGCTGCAGTCACGTGATCCAGGTCTGCCAGAGCAGCTAAAAATATTCTGGCTGCTTCATCAAAACACCTGAACTGTGTGTGCTGCTCTTCCAAACAAGTCTTTTTTTCTTTACATTTTAAAATTTGTTTTCAAAATGCTGACACCTGCCATATAAGGGCACATTCCCATGGTCGGCATGGCAACATCACCCATTAACAAGACGAAAAATAAAAAGTGCTGCTACGCTGGATGATCAAACACTTGCATTCCCAGGAGGCCGCGCTCATAAACCATGTCTGCTTCTTTGTGGAGGTTTTATTGCCGCCGTTCCTCGTTAACACGTCACTCCACCTCAGCAGAGGCAGAGCTCGTTCACTGAACGCCTCTTTTGCAACGGCGAGTCAATAAACTGGTTCTTATGGAGAAAGTTACAATGATGTATTTGTCTTTAACAGGGATAAAAGCTAAGATTGTGACTTAAAGCAAGCTCAAGGGTTTGATGGAGAGGATAAATGACATTGTCACCCTCTGTGTGAGTTATGAGGCTTCTTGCCCTTCAGGTTTCTGACATGTAACATTTATAAGCCTCTTATAGGAATCAATCTAAGGGGCAACACTTCCAATCAGCAGCACCACACCTCAGGGCGTGTTACTGTGCCTTTATGGACCTCTGTAACGCAGAGCAGGGGTTTCAATCATGCTGCTTTGGGACAAGGCCCCTGCTTGAGCCGAGTCTCCGGTCAGGAGCCCGTGGGATCACGGGGGCCCGAGGCTGAGCACTTTTCACAAACACTGAGATGTTGCTCTGACGGTACAAGCAGCTCATTTATTCCAGGAGCGAACAAGGTCAGTCCCTCTCAGGACGTACAGGTTTCTGTGGAGTGAAACTCTGCAGGATGTCCCTGTCATCCCACTGGAACCGGCCGTCATCCAGCCGTCCGGCTGCATGGGAAACCACAAGAGCAGCTGTAATTAAAGCGTCTTCACCTGGCTGAGAGACAAAGCAACAGGACTTTAGTATTTTTGACATTTTATTCCTTATAGCAGTGATTAATGACATTAACTGCAATTTTTTTGTGTGTCAAAATATATATCTAATTACTATGCCTGAAGAAAATGTTGAACTGAATGTCTGTCCTTCAAGAGCCTTTGTTGCTTTTTTCATGTTTTTGCAGAATTTATTAATTTATTTGAGAAAAACAGCTCAACTCGAAGCCATTTAAAGCTCATTTACATGTTAGTGTTAAATACAAAACTGGACTTGTCTCTGTGGAGCATATGTTGTGTAACAGCCTGAGCTGGACCAACACTTTCAGCTTCTCTCCATTTGTCCTCCGTTGCTCAGCAACACTCTGGGCCCATGAGCAAGGCCCTTAACCCCCACCATGTGCTCCCTAAGCAGGTCTCTCTTGAAAATGAGTTCTCGTGGCTCAATGAGACTACCTGGATAAATAAAGGCTAAATGAAAAAAAAAAAAAAAAAAAAAAACACAAAGAAGAGGCTTGAAGAAGCATTGTTGCATCAGTGATTTACAGCACGTTATTATATCTTTCGCCATTATGTTAAAAAGGCCTTTTTTATCTTCACTAGTAACACGAAACTTGTTTTTCTCCATCTGAAACTGGCGTTGATTCAGATTGGATTTGGTTTATTAGTGGCTGCAGTACAATCATCTGCCAGCAGGGGGATCCGAGAGTAAACTCCCCCGCAGACCTTGAACATCCCAGCAGCTTGAATCACATTCCTGGAGGTGTGAATCCTGGTTGCCAGGTAACCAGTTTCCCAAGGAGACCCATCTGAGACATCAGATATCAGTCATGTCTCCACACAGAGACGACTGAGGAACAATTCCTGCGCAAATGATTCATCGTGAATCTTTGAACAATTTCACCATCACCGATGGCACCTGGAAATAATCAAATCTGGATTTATAATGTTTAAAACCTATTCGTAAATCTTTTTCTACCTGGATTATTGAGCATGCAACAGGATGCTATTCTTAAATCATTCCTTTGTTCAGCTGTTGCCACCAAGAAAGACAGGAAGTAATGCAATTGGCTGTGAGTGTGCTCATTTTCGTGTCTTTTAGCAAAATATCTTATGAAGCACTGGGTGGAGTTGAGTGACTCTTGCAGAAAGTCATGAGTGGATGTTTATCTACATCTGGTTGACTTTTGGAGTTAAGCTAATGTTAATATAGTTGCTACAGCTAATTAACATTAGCCAACACAAAAATGGTTATAATTCAGTCAGTTTCACAGATATTGAGCTAAAATTTGATGTAGTAGTAGCTAAGAGTCATTCTCCTCAGAACATTGTGATATGAGGTTTGAATCTAATGTTAAATTTAAAATTTGGCCAAAACGGCTACAACTTTAATAATTTCTCATCAAAAGATAAGGCTTGAGCTCTGACATGAAACCTGAGGGTGATGTGCTTTGAGGAACGGAAGGCCTTTATTTCAGGTTCTGAGTTAGGGTGAAGGTAGTCCTGTCACGATAACAACTTTTGACGGGTGATTAATTATCTTGGAAATTATTGCAATAAACAATAATATTGTTTGAAATTTGACAGTAATTAGTAATTATTGTGAAATTTAAGAAGAAATGTTGGTTGATGAGGGCAGCACGGTGGCCCAACTGGTAGAGCTGCTGCCTCTCAGCGAGCAGGTCCCTGGTTCAAATCCCAGTCCAGGGGCCTTTCTGGGTGGAGTTTGCATGTTCTCTCCGTGCATGCGTGGGTTTTCTCCGGGTACTCCGGTTTCCTCCCACAGACCAAAAACATGCATGTTAGGCTGATTGGTAACTCTAAATTGTCCCTAGGTGTGAGTGAGAGAGTGAATGGTTGTTTGTCTCGTTTGTCTCTATGTGGCCCTGTGATGGACTGGAGACCTGTCCAAGGTGTACCTCGCCCCTCGCACAGGGATTGCCGGACATGGGCACTGGCGACCCCCGTGACCCAAAATGGAAGAAGCGGGTGGATGGATGTTGGTTGATTTGCTTTGTGTGTAGTACCTTTTTTCAACCACAGGATGCAGTATAAGACTGTGTGAAACGAAGGATGGATAGTGAGGGAGCGAGCAGCGTGTCTCTTTAAGAAAAGTGGGAGGAAGGCCCCTTGACGTGACATGGGCTTTCTCTCGTCGGTTCTCAAAAAGCCGGACGCTCTGTGTGGTTTGAGCTCTTTAGCATAGTATTTGTCGCACAAAGCTTTTAATACAAAAAATCAGTAAACAAGTTCTCAGCTTCTTTTTGCAGAGAAAAACAACTTTTTGCACAAAGGCACGAGTTTCAACTGTGAATTTTGGATCTTCAACAAGACAGAGGTTTTTTCCCAGAGGTCGGCCTTTTACCTTAATTCGTAGCTTAGCTTCTCAGCTTAGCTGTTTTTAACAATCCACAAACATTATTTTGGATTGCTAAAACAAATGTTAAAGAGAAAAGAGAAAGGGATGGGTCAGTGAAGAGCACTGGAGTTGAGCTTTTGTCATCCAGTGTCTTCAGTAGAAAGAGAGACACGAAGAAACAATAAAGCCGATAAATGAAAATGAGGTCGATAATTTTCATTTATCATGCGATTAATTCATTTATTGTTTATTGCGACAGGCCTAGGTGGAGATTTTTTCATGTAATAGATGAGTGATCAGATTATGCTGGAAAGTGTGAATGTGTCTTTCTCCACACAGCCTGAGAGACACATAATATTTGGATAAAAGCTTCTATTGTCAGAATACCATTGCCTCTGAAAGAGAAGCTCACAGCAAAACTTCTCTCCAGACACAAGGAGCAACTTTCATCCCAAAGTAGGGCATGTGAATTTAAACCTTTCTAAAAAAATTAAAAAAACACTTAAATAGTTGCATGTACAAAATAAGGTTTCAGCGTGTCAGCACTTTAACCTAAACTCTGCCAAAAGTTCAGCAAAACTGGAAACAACTTCTTGTTGCTCGCCACATCAAGCAAACTCGCATGAAATATTTGGCAATTGTTTCTTTTGTCACAATGGATGCTCTTCCTGACGCAACCTGGACTTGAACCTTTGACTTTAGGATTACAAGACTGCAACACTGACCACCGAGCTACCACAGCCCGAAAACTGTCAACAACTTATAGCACTAAATAACCTACATTCACAAAAATGTGTACAAATTCAGGAAGTCTGGGGGAATCCCAGGATGTAAAGCTCAAAGCCAGAACCCACTGCTGGATGCACATGACTTCAAACCCTCAGGCATGGAGACATTCATAGGATCATTCACAGAACGGCCTCATGGATTCAGAAGTATCTACTTTCATCCAGCACAGTCTGCCACTGCTGGAAGAAATGTAAACAAAACTTAAGAAGTTGAAAACTTCTGATCAACTCTGTGCAGAAACATGGCGTCACTCTCTGCATGTCAGATGTAACACACAAGGGGACGTCAGATGAGTTCAGCTGTTTTTGGGAGGAACACTGAGTCCTGAGACGAGAAAGATCATCCAGGCTGTAGTTAAAGTACAAGAAACAAGGGTCTGTAATGATACAGGGGAGCACCGTGTGATCACATGCTACAGGTGAGAGGCATTTACATTAAAAGTACCAAATCCACTGGATTGTATTAGAGTTTTATTTTTATTTTTATGAAGATGACATTTTCCCAGTCGATCTATGATTATTTCAGCAGCGCACCACCAAACTCCCTATTGCATCATTTAAAACAGTATGACTTCACAGACAGAGTGTGACCTTTGACCTGCAGTCCAGGTCTGAGTATGAAGCACCACGAAGAGGAGAATCAGACCCTAATGACTATGGAGTCTGGTGTTTGGACCAAATGAGCACAAATTCCTCCTGCAAAGCTGTAACAACAGGATTCCTTCCACTGAACGAACTAGAACTGAAAGTGAAAATCCTTGAAGGGACACATATATTGTAGTCCACCATCTCACGAGCCAAAGATTCAAACAAAAACTGTGATCTGTTGGTGCTGGGAGAACATACTGGAGATAACTCTGGAGATAACTGAACTACTGCACCATATTTGAGCTCAATATCAGTAAATGATTAAGTTATGACCATTTATTTTGTTTGCTAAGGTCAATTAGCTTTAGCTGCATGAAATTCACTGTAACCCATTGACAAATAAACACACACAAACTATGGGTGATAATTAGAAAATAAGAGATTTGCACATGTGTTTTGAACATCAAGATCTAGATTTGATTATTTTAAATGACAATGAATTCGGTCAGAACTGAGAATTATTTACTTCAGTTAGATCCAAAACAGGGCAGCACAGTGGCACAGTTGGTAGAGCTGCCGCCGCTCTCGGCGAACAGGTCACCCTGGTTCAAATCCCAGTCCGGGGGCCTTTCTGGGTGGAGTTTGCATGTTCTCTCCATTTATGTGTGGGTTTTCTCCAGGTACTCCGGTTTCCTCCCACAGACCAAAAACATGCATGTTAGGCTGATTGGTAACTCTAAATTGTCCCTAGGTGTGAGTGAATGGTTGTTGGTCTCGTTTGTCTCTATATGTCCCTGTGATGGACTGGAGACCTGTCCATGATGTCCCCCGCCTCTTGCACAGTGATGGCTGGATATAGGCACCAGCGACCCCCGTGACCCGAAAAGGAAGAAGTGGGTAAAGATAATGGATGGATGGATAGATCCAAAACAACTACAACAAAAACTTTAACATTTGTTTAGTTTAAGAAAATTTTTAAGCTATTGTTAAAATGAGGGTTATATTTGTGTTTGCTGAAGAAACACCAAGTTATTCTGCAGCAAAAAACAAAAGATGATGTATAATGTAGTGGATAATGAAAACAGGAACTCAACAAAATGCAAATAATGAGTTGTGGGATGTAATATCAGCGGAGATGAGGTACTCTGACAACTTTGATCATTATTGTATTTTGAACTGTTAATAACGGTGTACCACAAGGTTCAGTCTTAGGACCCACCCTCTTCACAATCTATATAAGTAATGTAGGTCAGAGCATCCCTGATGCATCCTTATGGCTCGCACATACTCGGGAGTACCTCAGTCCACGGAGGTTCGCTCGTACCGGATTAGACTCGAAGCGGACGCCCGCAGGGCATGTCGATGCAAAGATCAACTTTATGACCCCGTACTCGGTGTCGCACAATAAACTGCCTGGTGACAGACTGTTTTGTATGCAACACCAATGTATTAAATTCCCCTTCTTCATCCCTGGTCTGGTTTAATGGCCTTTTCTTTTCTTTTGTTTTTTCCAAGAGACAAGCGATGTCTTCCTCCTCATCCGTTGACGCCATGACTTAAATTGAGAGAAATAAAGGAATTTGTCACGAGCAAATTAAAATCAGGTCCAGCGTGGCTGCAGGAGGGTCTGGAGATTTCTTGGTGGGCCGGTCTGATTTGTGGGTTGTAGGGCCAGCGCTCACTGTTTTTTTTGTTTGTTGTTTTTTTAAGAAGTTTTTATTAACAACATTTTAACACAGAACACCGCTGCAGCTGGGGCTGCCAGCTATCTTTTTTTGTGACCTGTCACTCAATCCAGTAGGCATGTCAGCAAATGACCAATCAGCGACCTCAATTTGTCCCGAAGGTAAACGCCCCTTGCCTTCAGAGCTGACTGCAGCCACTAAGGGTGGATGCTCGAGTATGAAGTCTCAACCTTCTGTGGACAGAGCGCACAGTTTCCGCGCGGACTGAGGACCTCACGTGTCTGTGGGAATCTTTACATTTCTATGCTGACGACACAGTAGTTTACTGTCGAGCTCAAACAGTTGCTAAGGTTTTCCAGCCCTTATAGTCTGCATTTGCCATCATCCAGTCAGATTTGTTCCGTTTCAAACTTTATTAAATACAAACAAAACCAAAGGGTTGTTGTTTTCAAACAGGAAGTCGATGCCAGCAGTTCTTCCTTCTATTTTATCCTCAAATGATGTCCCTATTGAGTTTGTCGACTCCTATAAATATTTGGGTATCTTGGTCGAATGAATCACATCTCTCTTTTAAGCTCCATGGGGAAAACTTGGTAAAGAAACTGAAAGTTAAACTGGGTTTCTTTTTCAGAAACAGATCCTGTCTAACTCTGAATCCTAGAAAACACCTTGTATCTGTGACCTTCCTTCCCTCCATTGATTACAGTGACATTATTTACATGAACGCTCCTACAAGAACCCTGCAGATGTTGGATGCTGTCTATGATGGTGCACTAAGATTCATAACTGGCTGTAACTACTGTACCCACCACTGCACCCTGTATTCACTGGTTAACTGGTCATCATTAACTTCACGCAGACTCTCTCACTGGTACATTTTCATTTTTAAATCACTTCTTGGTCTGCTGCCTTCATACATCTCCTCCTACATGTCTCTGTGTGAGTGCAGCTACAGCGTGCGCTCTCAGGACATTATTACCTGCAGTGTTCCCTCAGTGAGGACTGAACTAGGCAAAAGGGCCTTCTCCTGCTCCGCTCCTGTTTCCTGGAATATCTTGCAAAAAGATCTGAAGCTCCCGACCTTGACCTCTCTAAGTGATTTTAAACATCTGTTAAGTTCATGGCAAAAAACAACACAGACATGTTCCTGTTTTTAGTCTTTTATATCACTTTATAATGTGGCTGTTTTTGTTTCATTTTCTTGTCATTTCTTCTATTTACTTTTCATTTTATATACTTTTACATGATTGTCTATTGTTGTCTCATCTGTGTTTATTTGTTTAAAACAGGTCTCTCTTGTAAAAGAGTCCTTGAAGCTCAGTGAGACTAACCTGTATAAATAAAGGTTGAATGGATTAATTTGATTTTTTTTCTTCTTTTGGCTCCTCCCTTCATCAGGGGTCGTCACGGCAAAATAACTCGCAAGAAGACATGGTAATTATTTTTACACCGGATGTCCTTCCTGACACAACCACAGACCACCGAGCTACCACAGGTCTCTGTGTGGAGCAGAGAGCTGCTATCAAGGACGCCTGGGAGAGAAGATGGTGGCGGTTAAGGGCCTTGCTCAAGGGTCCAGAGTGGGACAAGGAGGGTGGAGGTGTGGGTGTTTCACCTGTCCCACCCACATTTTGATGTTGTCTGTACGAGGAGTTGAACTGTCAACCTTCCGATCACAGACTCACCCTCTCTAGTCTCTGTATCACCACTCCCCCCTGACAACTTTCATTGTTATAAAAATGTTAATTAAATTTAAGATTTTTGTTGTAAAATATTTCATGTTTCGTTCGTTTCGAACACACTCACTCGTATAAAGAGCATCTTCTCGCCGACTCGGTAACGACCCTGCGACTGTCTCTCCACACAAAACTTATTGGCACACCTGCAGGGAGGATCATCAGCGATGTGTCGTACCTGTAACACGCGCGTGCACACACACACACACACAAATAAATAAACAAGAAATAGTTTACAGTTGTTTCACTTCTGATTAAATGAACCATTTTTCCGTACCGCATCATCCAAAAGCTTCCCTGTGCTTTTTTTGCTCAGAGTCACTTTGGTTGGAGTTTGAGGTGGGGACGGAGAGGATGGAGAGGATGGAGAGGATGGAGAGGACGATGAAGAGGGGGATGAAGGGACAAGCTGGGCTGGGGGTCCGGGTAACGGAGGAGGGAAAGGGCCTTTCTCCTCTTGTTCAATCTCCTTCTCCAGTTTTATCAGACCTGGAGGCTCTACGTTGTAACTAGACAGGAAAACAAAATGTGTCCAAGAATTAAAAATCAAGGATTCCCAGAAACCACACAAAAATAAATATATGAAGATGAACTAAAATGAACAA